GCTAGGTCTTTGAAAGGTACACATTTCCTGATGTTGTCAAACGCAGCACTCGAACAGCGACTGACTGCCTGCCACCTAAGTGACATCTATCATGGTCTGATCGTTCAGTGTATTGCAATCACAGTGTTGCAAAGGTGCGAGTTTTTTTTCCTCTCTAGGAAAACACCATGCAAAGCGGTGCTGCAGAGATGCTGAGGGAGCCGTGCAAGCAAGGATATGCACACAGGCACATGCAAAGACACACACATACACGCACACATGCCACTCCCCTTCCCGTTTTGAGGCGCCTCAAAACTAGCACAGGCACTCACGGGCACACCCACCCACACAAACAGACGTGCACTCAGATACACGCACACATGCCACTCCCTCCCTACCCCACATCCCCACAGGTGCAGGGCAAATGGAAGGTGAACGTTGAGATGCTGCGGGAACCGTGCAGGCAAGCGCAGCATCTGATATGCTGGTTCAGAGAGATTGTGATCCATCATGTGCCCAGGGTAGGTGTCACACACTACGGGTCTCGTCAGTATGGGCACCTATAATGAGCGTACCAGGCAGAGTTCAGGCGCTCAAATCTTGCAAACCGCATGCAATGAAATGAAAACTCCTGTTGTGGATGTGGAAGATAGTCTGCTGCTGGATGAGGCAATCTCTCTCTACCAGCCGTGGTTCAAAGAGATTGCAACGTCCCAGGGTAGGTGGAGATTGTTGTTCAGGTGGGTGTGACAATTCCCTCCTGAAAATCTGTGGGGAACAGGGAAGCAGCACAGCAACCATGTAAGCACAGACAGCACCTGGTGTGTCAGTTCAACGAGATTGCGATCCACTACCTGCCCATGGTAGGTGGTGAATGGAGAGGTTTGAGAGTAATAGGAGTATAGTTATGCAGAAGGGAAGTGGTGAAAGTGATGCATATGGTGATGTGTGGAGACGGCAGGTCGTGACTCATGAGTGTGAGGGTTCACACACGCAACTTCTCGCTCATTCAACATCCTTTTTTCGCTGAGTGGGGTATGTTGACAAGCATGCAAGCAAGGCAGAGTCATGTTGACACAGCAAGCACACACTGTGACTGTTGTGCAAGGGCAGCAGTATCTGTTTACATTGCTGGTTGGTTGGTAGTTTTTTTCAATGTTATACATTCTTGGATTGTGCCATGCTCGTGTGCTTTGTAAACATGAACTACTTGTGCCATTCTTACACTTGTGCATTAAATTCCCACGTGCTCCATCCATCACCTCCCTCACCACCGCTCACCACCCCTCTGCGTCCCTCATCATCGCTTGTCACCCCTCACCACCTCCCAGGAGTGGAACCAGTTGGCGGATCGACTCTCCAATGAGGCGGTTCCTCTTGCAGGTCAGTCAGTCACACCTCTTAAGGCCAACCAGTGTTGATGCTCACTCCTTACATTGTCACAATCACATGTCAAACTTATAAAAGGAAAAGACAACAAAATAGTAAACAGCTTGTATCATTTCCTACATCACATGTAAGCTCTAAAGCATCTAACCAAAAAGCCATATATTGAAGCCAGGGTCTAATGATAGCAGGCCTTTGCAGCCTTGCGGCCTATGCAGGCCTGCACCACCCACTCTCTCCTCATCCTTCCACTCCCCTTCCTTCCCCTCCCTCCATCCCAGCATCGTCTCTTTACCCCTTCTGTTCTCCCCTCCCCACTATCCCTTTACCCGTCAACTGAAGGACCCACACCGACGATTTTCTCCACCCTCATCCTCCACCTTCCTCCCCCCTCTCCATCCCTCCACTCCTGAATCCAACCCCTTCATTCTTCCATTAGAGGTCCAACGATTGGTCGTCCTGTCCTCCTGCACCTCTCACTGTTTTCTTATCGCTCCATCCACCCCCCTCCATCCTTCTCAAACTCTCCCATCCCTCCCCATCCCGCCCGTTCGCTTCCTTCCATCCATGTTTTTGCCCAACCAGAGAACGAGCGGGTGATAGTTCCCTCCGCTAAAGCCGTGCCCCTGCCCTCTCCTACCATGGCGCCGAGTTCATGCTTCGGCTCGATGCGGAGGGGCAGGCGATCGACTTTGACGCATGGCTGCTCAACGCCACGCTCCACCTGCGGAGCCAGGTCCAGAGTAACGCCACCCTGTACGCACACGCGTCGGGCGAGCTACCTGCTCCCCAGCGTCCTCCTGTTCTTGCTGCTGAGGCCACGTTGGCAGAGCAGGAGGCTCACCGCGTGGTCCAACTTGCATACAGGGTTTCGGAATCGCGTGACGCAGCTGCGCGCCTTGCTCTTATCCGCCTCCTTCCGCGGACCGAGTGGGTGCACTTTCGTCATTTCGCGACGGCGAAGGAGTGTTTAGATGCTATTATTACGCGCTACTCCACCCACTTGTCTGCTACTCTATTGCGCCTCGTCCTGGCGTTGCTGTTCTCCAATTCTCCAGTATTCTCCACAGTCGTAGACCTCATTACCCACCTGCGCTTGCTTGACGCTAGCTACCGCACAGCTTGCGCTACTGCCCGGCTTGCTAGCCAGGTTCCGTATATGCATCTCACACTGTACCTCATCACAGCCTGCCTCCCTGAGCGCTTTGCGCCTGTCCGCGACACTCTCCTCGCCATGCACCCCATGCAACTCACTATCGATCTTCTTGATTCTAGCCTGACTAAGATCGAGGCCTTCTTCCGCACCATCGGTGCAGTAGTCTCCCCGATCTTTAAGGGGTGCGTTTCACCTTGGCTCTCCACCACTGGTGGTGAGCGGATCTCGGTCGTCACAGGTTCGCACATCCACTCGCCCCCCAGGACTTGGGTGGAAGTTGCTTATCTACAAGACCTCCATGTCTCCACCAGGTTTCCTGCATATGAGGATTTTGCGATCTGTACGGACGGTACCACTGGGGCACATCTTGCCACGTTCTTCTATGACCCTGCGCTGGGTCTTAACACACTGCACACTGTTGGGAGCCATGTGTAGAGATGTCTCAAAAATAACCTCTCTACACGGGGTCTTATACACTGCGCACTCCTGGGAGCAGGTCGGCTCACAGCAATGGCTATATGGTGCTGTCCGAGTTGGCTAGCAATAACACTAGCACCGTTCACATTTCACTTTCTACACCCAACCCAATCTTTGTGTAGCTTAAAAGAAGATGATGAGTGCTGCATGTAGGGAGTTGTAGAAAATTGGAGCTACCGGTACATGATAATTAGAATTTAGGGTTTGTGGTTGTGGCATTCATGTATGTCGCCTGACAAAAATCGAATGTACAACATCAAAGGCAAAAAGCTGATAGCTGAGAGTCATTATTAAGAATACATCTATACTAGCTACCGTATAATTTGTTGAACCCTGATAATATTTGGAAAACCTTTCCACTTCCCCACTGCCCCACTGCCCCACTGCCCCACTGCCCCACTGCCTCTCTGCCCCACTGCCTCTCTGCCCCTCTGCCTCTCTGCCCCACTGCCCCATAGCCTCGCTCACTCACTCCCTCACTGCCTCCCCACCATGATACAATGGTGCAATCCGGGTGAGTGGTGCGGATGGTGCGTACCCAACAGAAAAACGCGATTGATAGGAAAAGGCAAGAGAAGCTCATGGAGGCATGGTCACTGTCTCCCCCCCATGAGCGGGTGGTGCAATGCGGGTGAGTAGGTGGTGCTGATGGGGCGTGCTCGGCGTGTGGTGCAGAGGGAGAGACCAGCAGATGTGGCGAGGAGAGCGAGAGAGGAAGAGGGCATGGTCATTGCACCAGTCATCACTGTATCACTGCCTCACTGCCCCCCCCCCCAATGAGCGGGTGGTGCAATGCGAACGGGTAGCCGGTGCTGATGAGGCGTGCACGGCGTGTGGTGGAAAGGGAGAGACCAACAGATGTGGCGAGGAGAGCGAGAGAGGGAGAGGGCATGGTCATGCCTCACTCATCAATGTATCACTGTATCACTGTCTCCCCCCAATGAGCGGGTGATGCAATGCGGGTGGGTAGCTGGTGCGGATGGGGCTGCGCGGCGTGTGGTGGAGAAGGAGAGACCAACAGATGTGGCGAGGAGGGTGAGAGAGAGGATGAAGAGAGCGAGGGAGGTGGAGGAGACGTCTTCAAAGGAAGGGAGCGAGCTGCAATGGGGAAGGGAAAAGGGGGGATGGAAGAGAGAGGAGGAAATTATAGAAGGAAGAGAGCGAGCTGGGGAAGGGAGAGGGGGATGGGAGAGAGTAAGAGAATTCATTCATGGGAAAGAAGGATGTAGTGAGAGGAGAGGAGAGGAAGGGAGGTGGAAAGAGACGTCTTCATAGGAAGAGAGCAAGCTGCAAGAGGGACGGGAGAGGGGATGAAAGAGAAGGAAAAGGAGGATGAGAGAGAGAAGGAAAAGGAGGATGAGTGAGAGACAGAAAACGAGGATGAGAAACTGCTAGATGGAAGGAAAACATTACCTGAAACGAAGGCCATTCCTCCCTTGCTTCTTCGCCTCCTCCCTGTCCTTGTGCAACTGCTTGATCCACTTCTGTATGTGCTTCTTCTCCTCCTTCCTCTGCTTCCGCACCGAAGGGGGATCGGCTGGGTGGACGCACGCAGGTCCAGGTGGTGGGCGCCTGGAGAGAGGGGAGAGAGGAAAAGAAGTGTGGGAGGAGGGAGGGATAAAAGCACATACTAACTACACCACTTCTGAATGTGCTTCTTCTCCTTCCTCTGCTTCCGCACCGAAGCGGGGTCGTCCGGGGTGGACGCCCTTAGGTCCAGGTGGTGGGCGCCTGGAGGGAGGGGAGAGAGGGGAGGAGGTGTGGAGAGGGGAGAGGGAAGGAGGCATGTACTGATTACACCACGTTGAGTGTGCTTCATTTTTTTCCTTCCTTTCCTTCCGCACCGAAGGGCAGTCATCTGGGGTGGATGCAGGCAGGTCCACGTGGTGGGCTCCTGAAACAAGGGACTCGTTGGGAGGAGTGGGGAGGAGTGGGGAGGAGTGGGGAGGAGTGGGGAGGAGTGGGGAGGAGTGGGGAGGGGAGAGGCAAGAAAACGCTTTATGTTTGAATCGCATCCTACTCGCTCATCTCCCCCACCATCTGGGGTGGACGCACGCAGGGCCAGGTGGTGGGCACCTGGGAGTGGGGAGGAGGTGTGGGGAGGGGGGAAAGACACAAACCCTTAAGCCTAGGTGGTGGGTTAATTGGGGGAGAAATAGAGGGGCAGGAGAACGGGGAGGAAGGGCAAAGTCCGTGTGGAGGAGAGAGGCAAGGGGGGGGGGAAGAGGAAAAATCAGGTGTGCACACACTTTCTTGCAATTTTTTTTTTTTTTTTTTTTTTTTTTTTTTTTTTTTTTACATTTGCAACAATGGACTATAGATCAAGCGCAAGGTGATTGCGAGGCCAGAGCAACAAAAGGAGGGACAACGAGTCTTTGGAAGAATCGACTTACAAGAACATCAAAATGAGTCTTTGGAGTCATAGACAACGAGTCTTTGGAAAAATCGACTTACAAGAACTTTCAACTGGGGTACAACAAACTCCCCTCAGGAAGGAAAAGGTTGACTAGGGTGACCTTTTGAGACGTCTCAGACACCGCAATGGCTTTTTACCTGGGTCGCAACAAACCCACCGTCAGGAATGGTGAGGCTGACTAGGGTGTCTGAAATGTCCTCAAGCACTCTGATTGTGGAGATGGGAGAGGTGGAAGGGAGGAAGAGGGGACAAAAGGAGGGGAGGGGAGGCAGGGAAAAGGGAGAGCGGCAGGAGAGATGAGGGGAAGAGAGAGGGCGGGTAGCAGTAGGGAGGTGAGGAACGGATCAGGATGGCATGAAGAGGGCCACTGTCAGATGGGTTTGGAGGGTTTGGAGTGTTTTACCATGCCCCATAAGGGCTGAAGCATGAATTCATGCAGTGCGAGAGGACAAGAGAGGGAAACAAATGAAAGGAGGAAATTTAGATGTGAGATTATGTACTCTAATACACGATATTCATAGACAAATCTTCCAGTTTTTTTGCATTTACAAGGGACTTGACACAAGAAAAGAGCCCGTGCAATAAGCATTATTATTTGGCAAACGCCTCTACGTCAGCTCAAATACAGTGGAATAATATGCTTTCAACATTCAGCAAAGGCCATGAACCGATCGCTCGTATGAAGAGAGATGTAGTGATGGCTTTTTGTGTTTGTCTATCAAATAATGGAATCGGCAGAACGCAAGTTGCCATCATCAAAAACTCTCTCTTTCACAAGCGATAGGTCCCTGACATTCGCTGAATACTGAAAGCACACTACTCAACTGCATTTATGCTCACATAGAGGCGTATGCAGAGCGATAATGCTGGTTGCATGTAACCCTTTATTTTCACCAATAAGTCCTTATAATTGCACAAAAAAAAGGAGTGTCCTATGTATCAACACCATGCATTAAAGTACATATTTTGCTGTGCCAAGGATGTTGAATCCATTGGCTTCAAAACCTTTCAGCATTTTAGACGGCCGCTCTTGATGCTTAATTCCTTGCAAATTACAAAGTTGTTATGACCGGTCCAAATTACTCGATTCAAGTTAGAAGGTCATGCACTATCTTCTTACTTTCATTCAATTCCTCCCAGTCCTCCTCGATTTTCCCCTAATTTATCTAGATCCCCTCCTCATTCTTTTGAATTCCTCCCAATCTTGCATCCCAAAAAGGCAGCGATTGGGAAAGCAGCGAAGGAGGAGGGAGGAAAAGGAACGATGGAGAATGCAACTCACACCGCCTCCACTCCAGGGTCAAAGCGCCCCTGGGAGAACACGATGTTGCTGCCGAAATGGCGCAGGGCTGAACGGATGGACTGCAAATGGGGGAGATGGGGGGAGGGGTGAGGCATTCAGGGAGGACGGGGGGACTTCAGGGCTTCGAGTTTAGGGTACTCAGAAGCTATGTCATTCCAGGGGTCAAGGTAGTGGAGCAATGTGGTGAGGTGTCGTGCCGTGCGCCATACTGCTGCAAGCAATGCTGCTCAAAGGCCATCTGGTTCCACTCAAAAGGGTTTAAACAGGCTGCCGTGTGATGCAGTGCTGTGCGGTGCAACGTGGTGCTGTGCAGTATAGACCACTCACCTGTCTGCCGATCTGGGTCATGGTCCAGGTGGGTCGGGGAGCAACGCCGTACTGCTGCAAGCAGTGCTCCTCAAAAGCCGTCTGGTTCCACTCAAAGGGCTCGAACAAGCTGTTGCTGGCGCAGTGCAGTGCGGTGTGGGTGCATTGTGGCGTGGTGAGGTGCGGTATAAAGTGGTGCAGGCCACTCACCCGTCCACCGAATTGAGTCATGGCCAGGTGGGTCTCTGAGCAACGCCATACTGCTGCAAGCAATTTTCCTCAAAGGCTGTCTGGTTCCACTCAAAGGGCTCAAACAGGCTGTTGCTGGCGTTGCTGCCTCATGGGCATGGACATGCTCTGTGCATGCCTGATAGGATGATGACGGGGGAGAGGGGGGGTGGGTGGGGGGAGACGGGGAGAGCTGGGGAAGAGGCGGGGAATGGTCCTCAAAGGCCGTCCTGGTTCCAATCAAAGGTTTAAACAGGCTGTTGCTGGCGCTGCTGCTCATGGGTATCACATGCTCCGTGCATGCCTGGTGGGATGATCACAGGGGGAAATGAAGGACGACAAGTGGGGTCAAGGCATGAGGAGCAAGAGAGAAAGACTGTTTGCTGGCTTTGCTGCTCATGGGCATTACGTGCTCCGTGCATGCCTGGGGTGGTGGAAGTAAGGGGGAGAGGGGATGGAAAAAAAAAAACAAACAAACAAAACAAAACAAAACAAAACAAAACAAAACAAAACCAAGACGCTCATGCATCACCATAGCTTAGTTGGCAGTCCCACCCACCCATTCTCCATACCTGGAAGGCCCACCCATTGGACATGTCATGTCATAAGCTCCAGTAGGCGGGCACTAGGCAGGCTGCCATACCTTGGGGTCAGCACTTGGGGGCAGTCCCACACACCCATTCTCCATACCTGGAAGTCCCACCCATTGGACATGTCATGTCATAAGCTCCAGTAGGCGGGCACTAGGCAGGCTGGCCATACCTTGGGGGTCAGCACTTGGGGGCAGTCCCACACACCCATTCTCCATACCTGGAAGTCCCACCCATTGGACATGTCATGTCATAAGCTCCAGTAGGCGGGCACTAGGCAGGCCTGCCATACCTTGGGGGGTCAGCACTTGGGGGCAGTCCCACACACCCATTCTCCATACCTGGAAGTCCCACCCATTGGACATGTCATGTCATAAGCTCCAGTAGCGGGGCACTAGGCAGGCTGCCATACCTTGGGGGTCAGCACTTGGGGGCAGTCCCACACACCCATTCTCCATACCTGGAAGTCCCACCCATTGGACATGTCATGTCATAAGCTCCAGTAGGCGGGCACTAGGCAGGCTGCCATACCTTGGGGGTCAGCACTTGGGGGCAGTCCCCACACACCCATTCTCCATACCTGGAAGTCCCACCCATTGGACATGTCATGTCATAAGCTCCAGTAGGCGGGCACTAGGCAGGCTGCCATACCTTGGGGTCAGCACTTGGGGGCAGTCCCACACACACCCATTCTCCATACCTGGAAGTCCCACCCATTGGGACATGTCATGTCATAAGCTCCAGTAGGCGGGCACTAGGCAGGCTGCCATACCTTGGGGTTCAGCACTTGGGGGCAGTCCCACACACCCATTCTCCATACCTGGAAGTCCCACCCATTGGACATGTCATGTCATAAGCTCCAGTAGGCGGGCACTAGGCAGGCTGCCATACCTTGGGGGTCAGCACTTGGGGGCAGTCCCACACACCCATTCCTCCATACCTGGAAAGTCCCACCCATTGGGACATGTCATGTCATAAGCTCCAGTAGGCGGGCACTAGGCAGGCTGCCATACCTTGGGGGTCAGCACTTGGGGGCAGTCCCACACACCCATTCTCCATACCTGGAGAGTCCCAACCCATTGGACATGTCATGTCATAAGCTCCAGTAGGCGGCACTAGGCAGGCTGCCATACCTTGGGGTCAGCACTTGGGGGCAGTCCCACACACCCATTCTCCATACCTGGAAGTCCCACCCATTGGACATGTCAATGTCATAAGCTCCAGTAGGCGGGCACTAGGCAGGCTGCCATACCTTGGGGGTCAGCACTTGGGGGCAGTCCCACACACCCATTCTCCATACCTGGAAGTCCCACCCATTGGACATGTCATGTCATAAGCTCCAGTAGGCGGGCACTAGGCAGCTGCCATACCTTGGGGGTCAGCACTTGGGGGCAGTCCCACACACCCATTCTCCATACCTGGAAGTCCCACCCATTGGACATGTCCATGTCATAAGCTCCAGTAGGCGGGCACTAGGCAGGCTGCCATACCTTGGGGGTCAGCACTTGGGGGCAGTCCCACACACCCATTCTCCATACCTGGAAGTCCACCCATTGGACATGTCATGTCATAAGCTCCAGTAGGCGGGCACTAGGCAGGCTGCCATACCTTGGGGGTCAGCACTTGGGGGCAGTCCCACACACCATTCTCCATACCTGGAAGTCCCCACCCATTGGACATGTCATGTCATAAGCTCCAGTAGGCGGGCACTAGGCAGGCTGCCATACCTTGGGGGTCAGCACTTGGGGGCAGTCCCACACACCCATCCTCCATACCTGGAAGTCCCACCCATTGGACATGTCATGTCATAAGCTCCAGTAGGCGGGCACTAGGCAGGCTGCCATACCTTGGGGGTCAGCACTTGGGGGGCAGTCCCACACAACCCATTCTCCATACCTGGAAGTCCCACCCATTGGACATGTCATGTCATAAGCTCCAGTAGGCGGGCACTAGGCAGGCTGCCATACCTTGGGGGTCAGCACTTGGGGGGCAGTCCCACACACCCATTCTCCATACCTGGAAGTCCCACCATTGGACATGTCATGTCATAAGCTCCAGTAGGCGGGCACTAGGCAGGCTGCCATACCTTGGGGGTCAGCACTTGGGGGCAGTCCCACACACCCATTCTCCATACCTGGAAGTCCCACCCATTGGACATGTCATGTCATAAGCTCCAGTAGGCGGGCACTAGGCAGGCTGCCATACCTTGGGGGTCAGCACTTGGGGGCAGTCCCACACACCCATTCTCCATACCTGGAAGTCCACCCATTGACATGTCATGTCATAAGCTCCAGTAGGCGGGCACTAGGCAGGCTGCCATACCTTGGGGGTCAGCACTTGGGGGCAGTCCCACACACCCATTCTCCATACCTGGAAGTACCCACCCATTGGACATGTCATGTCATAAGCTCCAGTAGGCGGGCAACTAGGCAGGCTGCCATACTTGGGGGTCAGCACTTGGGGGCAGTCCCACACACCATTCTCCATACCTGGAGAGTCCCACCCATTGGACATGTCATGTCATAAGCTCCAGTAGGCGGGCACTAGGCAGGCTGCCATACCTTGGGGGTCAGCACTTGGGGGCAGTCCCACACACCCATTCTCATACCTGGAAGTCCCACCCATTGGACATGTCATGGGGATCCGTATTGCGCACTGCTGAAGCACGCCTCAGTGCCCGAGTAGTTGTAATACAGGCTCACACCCGCACCCCGGCATACACCGCGCTCGAGGAGGTCAGCACTTGGGGGCAGTCCCCACCCAACCATTGATCTGCTTTGAGTCGACTCAAAAGCAGACTTGGGGCAGTCCCCACTCAACCATTGACCGTACCTCAACCATTGACCGTACCTGGAAGTCCCACCCATTGGACATGTCATGGGGATCCGTATCGCCAACGCTGAAGCACGACTCAGATCCCGAGTAGTTGTAATACACGCCCACTCCAGCAACAATGCGATCAATAAGGCTGGCACTTGCAGGGAGGCCTGTCAACTCGCCGACACAGCTGAGCACACACCGGGGAACAACAATGGGGTTAAGGATGGAGAAGGGTGGAAATGTGCGCTGCCTGGGTACCTGAGTAGTTGTAAATACTCGCCCACGCCCGGCAGCGATGCGATCGAGAAGATCAGCACCTGAGGGGAGGGAGTTAACGCGCCTGCACAGCTGAGGGCACATGGGATGGGATGGTGCAAGGTGGGGGAGAGCAGGGCGTGTTAGAGCACGCCTCTGGGCATGAGTAGCTGGATTACACGCCCACCCCGGCATAGATGCAATCGAGAAGGTCAGCACCTGAGAGGAGACTGTCCACTCGTCGACACAGCTGAGGACATGGTGAAGGGCGATGGGGGAGGGGGAGAGGGAGGGCACATGGGCGGTGTGAGCTGCGGAAATCACTTCTGAGAATTTCCAAAAGTGATTTCCATATAGCTGCGGAGCGTAATGCTAACGAAAGCCAGGCCAAATTTTGAGGATTCTCAAAAGTGATGCCAGTTAAACCAGGTCAAAGGTCATAATTTCAATTCTTGTGTATGCGCATGCGCATGCGCATATGCATAGGCACGGGAACGTGCAAAGGCATGCGCACTGATGCAACCACATCTGAACCTTTTGCATGGCAGACCATGCAGGTTACCATGTGAATTCTCAATAAAACATAGTCACAACACATCTCTCGATTGGGATGGGCGAGTAGCGGCATGAGAAATTCAGAGGGCACTGGGTAGTCCACCAGGGCAAACCATGCAGGTTATTTTCAGTAACCCCCATATTACGACATAAGGCTACCTCCCGAATGCGTACCTCTCGAATGGGGTGGGCGGGCAGTGGCATGAGGAAATCAGAGGGCACTGGTAATCCACCATTGCCATGTAGATGTATGCCGTTTCCAACCATGAGATAAGATCATCTGCATCGGTCAACGGGCTGAGGGCCACGAGGGAGGAGAGGAGAGGACGGTGAGGGGAGAAAGAGGAATTCAGAGGGCACGGAATAGTCCACCTTTGCCATGTACATATATGCTGTCTCGAACCATGCAATCAAGACCTCTGCATCAGTCAGGGAGCTGGAGGAGAGGAAGATCGAAGGCGGGAAGAGAGAAGGGAAGTCATGCTGGAGGGGGAGAATGAGGAAGTCAGAGGGCACGGGGTAGTCCAGCGTGGCCATGTATACATATGCTGTCTCCAGCCACTCGATCAAGTCGTCTGCGTTAGTTAGGGGACTGGGAGGAGAAGAGGAGGATAAGAGTGGGGAGGAGGAGACAGAGAGTTGGGGGCACGGGGTAATCCACCATTGCCGTGTGGATATAGGAGGTTTCCAACCACTCAATTAGGTCGTCTGCATTGGTCAAGGGACTGGGTAAAGGGTGCGAGGAGGGAGGGGAAGGTAAGTCAGAGGGGACGAGGTAGTCCAGCATGGCCATGTAGATGTATGCCGTATACAGCCACTCAATCAGATCGTCTGCATCAGTCAGGAGACTGGGGGAGGATGGGATCAGGGATCAGAAGAGGAGGAAGGGAAGAGGGGAGGCGTGGGGTATTCCATCATTGCCATGTTATGTAAGCCGTCTCTAACCACTGAATCTGCTCGTCAGCATTGGAATCGTCCTCCCTGCCATGTATATTCTAAGCCCATCTCTAACCACTGAACCGTCCTCACTGCAGCCGCGAAACGGCGATCATGCTACTGCTGGAACCCTAAGTCCGTTGTCAGCTCCTACCCTACTTACGGATCCTGCCTACAACCTCCTCATCACGGCCGTTTGCAAACGCTGGCGTACTCTGGCTCGCCGTCAGGTATCCATGCTCCTTGTAAGGAAGGCATTGTCGCTTCAATACAAGGGTCTCACCGTTGCCATCAGGTGCTTCCCCAACCCTCTCACATCTGCACCTCAGCGACAACAGCGTAGAGACAATGAACGACGCCTTCATCGATGTCCTCGTGTCGTCATCCCTAAACTGGTTTCCCTGCCACGTGGAAGATTCGATCGCGCCGCATGATTGGGGCAGGCGGGTAGACGAGCATCCGGTGATCGAAGCCGGATTGGAACCCTTCATCCGTCGCTGCACTCAACTATAGCACCTCTCGCTCTACTGCTTGCATCCATACGGCAAGCTGCCGAATGCCCTCTCGCTTCTCACCAACCTGCACACTCTCGTTCTTACGAAAGCCTCGCCTCTTGAGGCCCAAGGATTTTCGAGACCGTCTTCTGTCCAACTGGAAGGAGGGTTTCCAAAGCTGTCAGCTGGTAGAACGAATCTGGGAGACTCAAATTTGGAGGCGGAGTAGCCTCAGATCCTTTAGAGCGGGCAGCTTGACAATGGCGCACGAGGAAATCGTCAAATGCTCTGGGCAGCTAAGGGAAGTGAACTGTTCCGGCAGCTCGGAGAGTTTTTCGTAACTACACAAGATCAGATCGCAAAGGAGCGGCAGTCGCTCTCCGATGTGGTCAGTAAGACGCTCGAGGCCTTCGCTTTCTTTGAAAACAATCGTCTCGAGGTTACGGAACGAGTCTCTTGGCGGAAACACTTGCTCGAACGGCAGACTGCGCAATTCGAAACCCTAACGCTTTCAGTGACGGCACCCGAGCTAACGAGAGGGGGTGGGAATCGGCACCTTCCAATTTCAGACATTCCGCCTGGTGGATGTAGAGGGTCACTAAGGCTAGGAGATGCGCGAGGCTCGAGAGATTCAAATTTTCGGGGTCGGTAGTGTCGATGGAGAGGGAGGTGAGAGCAAACAGCCTCGAAAATCCAGGGGCCTCAAGAGGCGAGGCTTCCGTAAGAACGAGAGTGTGCAGGTTGGCGAGCAGCGAGAGGGCATCCGGCAGCTTGCCGTATGGATGCAAGCAGTAGAGCGAGAGGTGCTGTAGTTGAGTGCAGCGACGAATGAAGGGGTCCAAATCCAGCTTCGGTCACCGGATGCTCGTTCACCGCTTTGCCCCACTCGTGCAGCACGATCGAATCTTCCACGTGTAAGGAAACCAGTTTAGGGCATGACGACGCTAGGACATCGATGAAGGCGTCGTTCATTGTCTCTACGCTGTCATCGCTGATGTGCAGATGTGAGAGGTTGGGGAAGCACCTAATGGCATCGGTGAAATCTTGGAGCGAAACGACAATGCCTTCCTTCACAAGGAGTATGGAGACCGGACGGCGAGCCAGAGTATGTCAACGTTTGCAAACGGCCGCGATGAGGAGGCTGTAGGCAGGATCCGTAAGTAGGGTAGGAGCTGACAAATGACTTATGGTTCCAGCAGTAGCATGATCACCGTTTCGCGGCTGCAGGGAGGACGATTCAGTGGTTAGAACACAGACTTACAACATACATGGCAATGGTGACCGATTACAATATGTAAGCCGTCTCTAACCACTGAATCAGCTCGTCAGCGGGGAGGGGAACAAAAGGACTCTGATAAGAGGGCACGAGGTAGTCCAGCGTGGCCATGTAGATGTAAGCTGTTACCAACCACTGAATCGGTTCATCAGCGTCAGTCAAGTGACTGGGAGGAGGATAGGGAGCAGAGAGGGGGAGAGGAGAAGATGATCGAGGGCACTGGATAGTCCACCATGGGCATGTACATGCCATCAATTTCCAGCCACTGAATCAGTCTCTCTCCTTGGGTCAAGGGGCCTGGGAGGGAAGATGAAGAGTGGTGGTCCTCACGCAATCAACCAATTCATCTGCGTCAGTCAAGGGACTGGGAGGGGGGAGGGAACGAGGAGGAGAAGAGGAGGATGGGAGATGGGAGGAGGAGTCAGCGTGCACTGGGGGCAGGCCTCACTCATATGCCTCACCTGCACAGGCGGAACTGCTCTGAGAGGCGGGTGAGCCCTCCCTCAGCTGCTGCCTCCTCCCTGATGGCCGCCCAGCTATGGCAACCACTTGGGTACTACCCGTCTAGGGTGTTTCTCTTGCTCCTCACCTGCATCCTTGCACGCCCCACTAACACGCCTCACCTGCACAGGCGGAACTGCTCTGAGAGGCGTACAAGCCCTCCCTCAGCTGCTGCCTCCTCCCTGATTTCCGCCCAGCTGCTATTGATGGCATTGAAACAATTCTCACTCTCTATCTGCATGGAATGGGGTGGCATGGCATGGCATGGCATGGGACAGGATGGCATGACATGGGACAGGATGGCATGGCATGGCATGGCATAGCATGGCATAGCATCGCATGGCGTGGCGTGGCGTGCCATGGCGTGGCATGGCGTGGCATGGCATGGAACATGACGGCAATATATTGCATCAGATTCACAGAGAAAAGGGGCAAAAAGCTGATCTCGATGGACTCGAAGCGGCTCTTGCTCTTTGTCTGCATGGCATGACGTGCGATGGGTGGATAGCATATGAGAGCATTTCTTGGCATGAACCGAGCTACTAGCAACACCCATCCACCTCAAAGTCATGTGCCACTATGCGGTAAAGGGTATCGCTAGGCACAATGTTTTCATATTGCAGGATAGGTGCTGATGCTGCAACATGATGTCATGCCCCTATACTCGCACTCCTTTCCTCCCACTCCCTCCGTCCCTTTACTAACCTTGCAGTCGTGTGACACTATGTGGTAAAAGGTATCGCTAGGCACGATGTCCTCGTACTGCAGGAGGATGGGGCGCTGATGCTGCGATGAGCTGTCCTGTCCCCATTGGAGTCACACACACAGACTCGACCAGCACCCACCCACCTTGAAGTCGTGTGCCACTATGCAGTAGAAAGTATCGCTGGGCACGACGTCCTCGTATTGCAGGATGGGTGTCAGTCAATGAACCAAGGTGATATACCCCCTCCCCCTCCCACCAACACCCACCTTGAAGCCGTGTGCCACTATGCGGTAGAAAGTATACACGATGGCCTTGTACTGCAGGATGGGGGCAGATGCTGTAACAGGCTGCCATGCCCACAGCAACCTGCCATACCTGTTATAGTCACACACCCACCCACCTTGAAGTCGTGTGACACTATGCGGTAGAAGGTCTCGCTGGGGACAATGTCCTCGTATTGCAAGATGGGTGCCGATGCTGCGATGGCGCCTGCTGCTATGTGCGGGTACTTTAGGCGGAACCATGCTGCGAGCACTGGGGGAAGCAAGACGAGGGAAGGGGAGGAAAAACATTGGGACTTGTGTTGACTTTTGAGGTGACTCCGTAGGCTCGGCTCATCACAAGATGCTGCAATGGCGCCTGCTGCTATGTGTGGGTACTTGAGGCGGAATCACACTGCCAGCACTGGAAAACACAAAATAAGAAAAAACACCAAAGACAAGACAGAAGAAAAAGAAGTACTCAAGGGCAGTGCTTCGAGATAAGAAGTAGTACCCCAATCCTGCAATCGAGTCGACTCAAAAGCAGTAGTACCCCAATCCTGCAATCGAGTCGACTCAAAAGCAGAAGTAGTACCCCAATCCTGCAATCAAATTCTACAGACCAAGAAATGAACACTTTATGGGGGGGAGTTCATTATGCAGGTGGTGGCGGCGGATTTGGCGGCGAATTGGGCGGCGGTCACACGAGTTGTGCTGTGCACCACGGAGCTCCTTCCTCGTGTGCACACGGAGCTCCTTCCTCGTGCTCCTTCCTAGCTTTCGCCCCCCAAGTAGCTCCGTATGCAGCCACATACTGCCGCCACAGGAACCTCCAAAAAAGATGATGGCGAGTCGTGTGCGGATAAGTTCCCCTTGAGGGCTGTGAAGAAACAACGCCATGTTCACCATGGCTTGCTCTGTTGTGAAGAGGAACTGAAGGAAAGAAACCACTTACTGCCGCCATAGGAGCCTCCGAAGAGGATGCCCGGAGAGTCATGTGCACTCAGGTTCCCCTTGAGGGCTGTGAAAGAACAACTCCATGTTCACCATGGCTTGCTCTGTTGTGAAGAGGACAAGGAGGAACATGGTGGACACGTTGTTCTGTTGTGAAAAAAAGAAGCCGCTTACTGCCACCATAGGATCCTCCAAACAGGATGATGGGCGAGTCATGAGCTCTACGGAATTCTCTCCGTACATGAGTCATGTGCAGAATTCCCTTGAGCACTGTGAGCAGCACTGCCATGTGCGCCATGGGCTCGTGTAGAAAAAAGCGTTTCGAGACGTCTCAAAACAGGATGATGGGCGACTCATGTGCGAAGTGAATTCCCCGTGAGCAGCACTGCCATGTGCGCCATAGGCTGCTCACCACAGGCTGTTCTCTTTCGAGGCTCTTTTTGGGCAGGAGAGAAGAAGCAGCAACTTAATGTCGCCGTAAGAGCCTCCAAACAGGATGATGGGCGAGTCATGCGCGGATAGGTTCGCCTTGAGCGCTGTGAGAAACAACGCCATGTCCGCCATGGTGCTGCTGACCATAGCCACTTACTGCTGCCATATGAGCCTCCGAACAGGATGATGGGCGAATCATGCGCGGATAGATTCCCTTTGAGCGCCGTGGGAAGCAATGCCACGTGCGCCACGGGCTGCTGTTGACCACACCACAGCCTGCTCTGATGTGAGGCTCGTTCTGAGGGAAGGCAAGAAGCCACTTACTGCCGCCATATGAGCCTCCAAAGAGGATGACTAGAGAATCATGTGCAGATAGGTTTCCCTTGAGCGCTGTGAGAAACAACGCCCTGTGCTGCCAGCCATGGGCTGCTCCGCTGTGAAGCGCAGAGGAACCATGGGATGGGCTAGTGCAGTGAACTCTACTGAAAGAGAGAAACATCACTTACTGCCGCCGTATGAGCCTCCAAATAGAATGACCGGAGAGTCATGCGCGGACAGGTTCCCCTTGAGCGCTGTGAGGAACACCGCCATGTCCGCCATGGCCTGTTCTGTGGTGAGGAAGACGAGGAGGAACCGAAGGAATGAAGCCACTTACTGCCACCGTAGGAGCCTCCAAACAAGATGATGGGAGAGTCATGCGCGGACAGGTTCGCCTTGAGGGCTGTGAGGAACACTGCCATGTCCGCCATGACCTGTTCCATTGTGAGGACTCCAGGCACAGCTCAGGGAGGACTTACAGAGGGAACAAGAAAGAGCAGCAGTACTTACTGCCACCGTAGGAGCCTCCGAAGAGGATGATGGGCGAGTCATGCGCGGATAAGTTGTCCTTAAGCGCCGTGAGAAGCACTGCCATGTCCGCCATGGCCTGCTCTGTGGTGAGGAACGCACGAGTCGACGCGTTGCTGAAGGATTCTTTTTCCGAGCCGAATGGCATCGACTCACCATAGTACCGGTGCTGGATGTGATATGATAATAACGGGGGAAGGGTGGGAAGGGTGGGGGGGTCGAGGGGAGGTGCGGGGGGAGAGGGAGGGGGAAAGAAAGGGCTGTTGTTTTCAGGTGCTCAACAACATTCCCCATGTCCGCCATGGCCTGCTCTGTGGTGAGGAACGCGCGAGTCGACGCGTTGCTGAAGGATTCTTTTCCGTGCCAAATGGCATCGACTCGCCGTACTACCGGCGCTGGATGTGATTGTGACGCGGGGGGGCGTGTGGAAAGGGGACGGAGGGAGGGGAGAGGGAGTGGGGGGGGGGGGGGGGGGGGGGGGAAGGGGGAAGTGGAGGTGGAGAGGAGGGGGGGAAGAAGTGTTATTTTCAGGCGCCTCAACAAGAGTCCCCATGTCGCCATGGCCTGCTCCGTGGTGTGGTGAGAAACGCCCTAGTCAACGCGTTGCTGAAGGATTTCTTTCCCGAGCCGAATGGCATTGACTCGCCGAAGTACCGCCGATGCTGGGTGTTATTGTAACGTGGGGGGTGGACAAGGGAATTCAGGCGAAACGAGGTCAGATCTGAACGCTGGTGGAACAAGATCGAGTAATGGCGGACTCGAAATAGCAGACTAGCATTGTCGCCTTCAACAGAAATGAAAACGCGTCGTGTAGCACTGAGTGACTGTACTATTGACTAGAGCGACTTTCACGAGGCGGCTTTCGGGTCGACTTATAAGTTGAATCGATAAAAGAATTATGGCGTGTCGAGCGTTGCGCGAACACGCACGGCTCACCTCGGGTCCCACGACAAGCGCGCCGAATTCGACAGCGATCTCGCGGATCCACCCTGCGTTGTCCATGAACCATTGGATCGGCCCCTCGTTGCCGCAGTACACGAAGATCGGCGCGCCGCTCTCCGCGCCGCCCCACGCGCCGTCCCACCAGATGTACTTCTGCTGCCACGTGGCGTAGCTCGACTGGGTGAACGAGAAATGGTCGAGATTCTGGGTGAAGTAAGAGGCGTTCCAGGCGTAACTGCCGCGAGCCGAAGCTCCGGACGCGGCAACTTCGTTATAGATGTTTCCGCTCTTATCTATGTGCGCGCTCGCCCGGATTTTCTGCTGCCTGTGGAACGAACCCGGGAAGCGCGGGATGCGAATGCGCGCATCGGAGCAGGAAGAAACGCGGCCGCGAGTAGGAAAAGGAGAAATGCGGACAGCTGAGATGAGGCGATCCGGTGAGTGCGGGCCATGGCTGAGTCAAGAGAGCTGTGAAGCGAAATGCAGAAATGTAGGAATGGCGCAAGAATGGCAGTGCAGAGTGGAATTTGTCTCAGGACGCGTCACCTCTTTCTTCAGGAGGGCGATCGATCGTCCACACGATCGGTGTGTCACGCGTACAAGGCTTATGCGAGTTGACGAAGTATGTTTCCACGTTTCTTGAACCGTCGAAAATGTACAGAAAATTGGTCACCACGAAGGTGTCACCTAGGGCTCACGAGATCGATGTGCCAAAGCCGACGATCGATAATGCAATTGAGGCGATCGGGCTATTTTGCACCACAAATTTCCGTCCCTCCCAGCGCTGGCTCGGTGGAGCCCCGCGATCGCAAAAATGCAAGTGGGCACACCGATGTGCACACCGACCCAGCCAGTTTTGAAAGAGGTAACGCGTCCTCATGTGGCATGCCAGTCGGTGGAAGGCCAGATGCCAGCCATATGCAGAGTGGAGCTTATCCACGATCGTCACTTTCACTTCTGTGGAAGTATGACCAATATCTCTTTCTTCTGGTGCAGTGTATAGACTCCTCTTTTCTTGAGGCTACCACAGCCAGGCATTTTGTTCATTTATACAGAAAGTTAATAATGATATCTTGCCACATAGCAGTAGGGAAACAAAAGTCATTCTAGTTCTAGACACACCAAGATGTGCGCAAATTGGCTTGTGCACATAGTAACCTGCTCCCATCAAAAGAAACAAACAACAAATCAGGGTTATTAAATCGCACTAAGCCAAGATGGTCTCCGCCTGAGAACCTACATGTGACGTAATATTAGATGATGCACACCCAGATTGTGGATGAACAATACCCTAGTTAAATGGATGCTTCACAACACTCGGGCACGTACCATATACTTGGCAGGTCAAGGTACCCGTATATTACGGTGCGTTCAGCAACGGCAGCAACACAGAGAGGCCTGAAAACACGCGAAGATTGACAGCAATGGGAGATTATGCAACACTTTGTTTCGGAAACTGGGAAACACGGGAACGTTTAAAGGTGCAGAGATGGCCGCAAGCGAAGAGAAGTCGATCATGGCTCGATGAGAGATTGAAAAGCGAAGAGAGGCTTACTCTGTACAGGTTGAGGAGGACTACAATGAGGATGAAGGCAGCCTGCATGGTGAACGCGGTTCCACAGCGAAGGGCGAAAGACACGGAAGAGACGGAGGGAGTATGGAAGGGAAGGAGAAGAAAATGGGAGACGCTTCCAGGAACAGGCGATATAGTAATCGTACTGCAAATAACCGCTTGGCAACCGCAAATGGTATCGAACTTCGCTGTATCGAGTCCGAAATAGCGTTCTTATGTATGATACCGTGTAAACGTCTGGTGCCATCACAGCCATGGGCCCGTTTACGTTCCGCTGCACTCGCCGCTGGGCCGCGCGACCGCCATTCCCCGCATTCGCGGTGTAATCGGCCAAATCTTTCCCGGGTGGTGGAGGAGCCATGGCGAACAAATCTACGCAGCGTCTGGTTCACTAGGCTCCACGCGAAATTAATACGATGATGTCACGTAAAAGCCTGTTACATTGGGCTTACAGTCTCGTCGGCGACTAATCACTGACTCTTGGGTGAGGGCGGCAATAGTATCCCAGCTTCTAACCCTAGTGAATGGTGAGGTGATGGGTTGGCGCATGGACGAACAGAAATCCGAAGCACGGAAGCATGTGGGTTGGGTGAGGCGATGAACCCAAGCGAATTTCAAAAGAAAAGCAGAACACCTCAGCCGAACAAGGTCGTCACGATGAATTTGCCAGTGTCGTCGAGGGGGGTCGTCAAAGCCTGGGTCGTCAGAGTAGCGTGAGCACCTTCACGAGCAGGAATCGCCACAGCGTCTGCGACGGAGTGGGTTGCCCGCGGATTCCACGCCGCCGCCGCCCATGTCGGCAGCACCCTCATCATGATCTGGCGGAACTGCTCGGCGGTGTAGGTATCGCCGATGGTGCTGCGTCGACGGTCGGCGCAGTTCCTGAACGCAAATCGGCGGGGAAAATCTGTTAGACTGCGTCGACTTCACAGTGCACAGTGATATAGAATAAGGTTGTCGACCAACTTACTTGATGTCCCTCTCGTTCTTGTGGCGGACGTTGAACCGCACCTCCGATCTGACCACCGAGATCTCCCTCATGATGCCCAGCTCCTTCTCTCGGTACAGCGTCGCCTCCACCCTCGCCGCCATCTGGCATGCCTTTATGCGCCCGAGGATCGTGTGCACAGTTGTCGACCTCACAGGCCCCGTTCGCGTGGCATTGTTCTCCTCCCCGGGCTGGTCAACAATGAGGTTACACTCACGGCTCATTTGCTTCACGTAGGCGCGCAGCCGGGTTTCGGTGACCCTAGGGCCGTGCAGCCAGATGTACTGTCAGCGGACCACTTTCTCGTTGCACCAATCCTTTTTCTTGTTGTCGCGGATGTAGTGGCCGATCTCGTCGACGTGCCGAAGTCGTTGCTCATGGGGTAGCTTGTCGCGTATCTGCTTCAGCATCTTCGCCGCCCACTTCTTGTAGTGGTAGATGAACGCGGTGTACAGCCTGAGCGTGCTATCCTTCTCCAAGCATTGTAGGTGTCGTAGGGCGTCCATTATGAGCACGTCGATGCTGGAGTACACCATGTCGTCCACTACAAAGTCCGTCGCCTTCCACCTTTCGCGCGGCACCACCATGTGCTGATTGTCCTCCTTCTCGTCCTGTTCGAGCATGTCATGTATGTATTCAAATTCCCGCCTAAGGCGTTCTTCCAAGGTGCGCGGATTCGTGCTTCGCGGAGGACGGTCGTCGACTTCGTCGTCGCTCTCTTCCTCGTCCTCGGTCGTCGTCATCACCTTGGTTTTCCGAGCCGGCCGGCACCGACGAAGGTCCAGGCTGCCCATCTGACGTCGGTGTCGACTTCTTCGTAAACTCCCCTATTGCGGATTCGGTATGTCCTTGGTGTACTCCCCTTCGGGAATCTGAGTCAGTTTGTCAAGATCGTAAGCAACTTCAGCGTCTCTACGGGGGCAGATGACGGACTGTGGTCGGTTGGGGTACCAACGTCGGGCATGTCGAGCGTCGTCCATGACCGCTCGTATGCTCTAGCTACCGCCGGCCGTGGAAGAGGGAAGATTGGTAAACCAGAGACGGAAGTGATTCACGTCGACGCCTGAGTGCCGACCTAAGTCTATTCCAGGTCGACGCCTGAGTGCCGCAGCTCGGTCGACTCGGCCGTCGAGTAAGCTAGACCCGCAAAGATAGCGAGGGTCCTGTGAAGAAAACGAAGTGCCAGATGGCGCACAGGAGCATGAGAGAAACACGAAGCTGAACCGGCAGAATGAGAGCGTTGTGCGTGGTCAAAGAGGGGTATGGTTGCGGGCCACTGCGCACCTGCCGCGCTCCACGCAGCCCTCTTTGCAAGCGCCGCAGTGCACGTGCATGACGTGTCACGATCGATGCATGTCTACTGTCACGCCGCTCTGCGCTCAACGGCACTCCCGCCGGTGCCTTGCCACGGTGGAATTCACGTGCGCCGCGTGCAATAGGCCAATCACCTAGTTCCACTCTCCCGAAATGCCGTAGCGTCCTGCTCTCCCCGCGCAAACCTCATCGACCTGCGAGTAGGCGCGTGGCCGGAGGGTTGGTCGACGCCGACATTCCCCGAGTCTGGGGCATCCTGGCCGTCCCTACTAGGCCACGTGGCCGTAATCGCGGCTCGGCGCACGACGTGTCGAGCTGTGGTTCAGGGTCCGCTGAGGTATCCTTCTCGGGTTTCTCTCAGCGAAACCCGAGGTCGTCAGATAGTCGACAATCCCGAGGGGTTCAGAGCCCCGGAGGACTGCCAGCTCGCCCCAGTTTGCCACTCGCAGGTCGTCAGAAGCTCGTCAAACCCGAGGGGGTTCGTTGTCCTATCGCAACTGCGAAATTGGGCGGCTGTTTTCGTCGGCTGAGGTATATCATCCCTAAACTAGTAGCGCCGACCAAAACGTGGGACAACCCTAACAACGTCGACCTGCAAGGTATCCAGCGGTCGACGTCGACATCCCAATACGGACACTCACTTGAGGCCGAATCCCAAGCAACGGGCGTTTGAACTCTAGCCTATGGTCTACGAGGACGGCGTAGTCGTGTTCGTCGAGCTTGGCAGTGAGTCCACTACCCAGGTCGAGATACAGAGGGAAGTCCTGCGAAGTCGGCGTCACTTCGCCGACTTTCGGGGCGGCCGACATGGCGGGGAAGGGAAGCGGCTACAGGCTAAGGGACGTGAATGTGGGAGAAGGCGCAGAGCTGGGGAAAAGGTGGAAAGGGAAACGAGATGCCGAAAATGAGGAGCGATGCCCCCCTTCCACCAAGAAAGGGGGTCGGTGCCCCACAGGAACGGTCGAGGCATCGCCCGGCCCTCGTGGTGCCTGCCTCGGCGGGGTTTGGCGGGCTCGTGCACAAGTGGCACAAGTTCTCATTCGCCGCCGAGCCAGCAAGTCGATGTCACGTCCCGAAGCGAAAAATGTGCGCCGCGAAGCGATCGAAATCGAATTCGCTATGTCCCAAATTGAATTCGCAATGTACCAAATTCTGCATGTTGCCCGATGCGAAGTAGGCGGGCGAACACGTGGCGTCACCGCAACGGGTCGCGAAGTTGTCGAGTGTCCGAGGGGGCCCCGAATTTTCGCCTGGCTCTCACCTGCCCGCCCGGGCAGGCCGCGATGGGTTACTAGGACCTCGCGGGCAGGTGGCACGTGTGGGCTGCCTTTGCGCGAGGGTAATTTTCCCACGCGCGAGCTGTCGCCAGTTCGCTGACCCCACCCGGTAACGTGGGCCGCTGTTCACATTCGGAGCGGGGCTGCGGGGCGGCGGTCGTGCGCTCGGCCCAGCCCTGGGCCAGGCTGGCGGGCCCGCACGCGCGTCAGTGCTCCGCCCCGTCAGCCCAGGCTTTGACGACCCCCCTCGACGACACTGGCAAATTCATCCTGACGACCTTGTTCGGCTGAGGTGTTCGGGTTTAGATCACTACTCGGTGACGCACACAGCCGTAGGTCGGCACCGGACTCCGATCACTACAGTAGGTCGGTGGCCGCATCGGTAGGCGCCATTGATTACAACGTAGCGACGGTGGTACACCGCTCTACTATCGCCATCCCCGTCAGTTGTCGGTTCCAGAACCCACGTGTCCATCCGTCGTGTCGTGCACGTCCTCAAACACATCTACTACCCATGCATGCGAGCAGGTACGCATGGATTTGTGCGGCGCCGGCCAACATGCGATTGTGGTCGATAGGACTCGGCCGGCTTCGGGCGGCGATGGGCAAGGAAGACCACTCATGCTTTGCTACGGTGTTCGACGCCGACGTAGCTGTTATCCCTCTGCATTCAAGGTGAGCCTAAGTCATGATGGTGTGCCATGATGCCTATGTCGCTGCTCCGTTCTGATCGACGTCGTGGTGCCTAGCCTGTGCAGCATCGCACCGCTTCCAGGGGCACATTGCAGCGTCGTGGTCATCCTGTACCCCGGCGACTTGTTGCGGGCCGGGGGGAGACGATCAGGAACCTCTGTCCGGCACTTTGACCCGCAAACCGTGAAGCAGTGGCACCGCGACGAGGCGATCCACGTGCTGAAGTGAGCTCGATAGTGTAATCGACGACAGCATGCAATTTCGCCACTAGGCGTTAAGCAAGTCTACTGACGATATGTGCCATGTTGCTTCAGGTTTTTCCGGGCGGCGGTGCTGGCCGAGCTCGGCCGCGATGGGCCGGCAGTGGGGAGTGGCCGAAGCCTTCTGCTGAAGAGGTGGCGGACAGGCTCGCCGACTGCGATGAACCCGTTCGAGATGTGAGTACCGATCGTTTTAACCGTCCTAGCGCGATGCCATTGCCGCCGTCGGTGCTTCATCCTTGCTCTCTGCTCTATTGTTTGCAGAAAGTGCGCGACACCGTCCGGGACAGCGACGCAGGCTCTGGCCTCCTATCAATGAGCGCGCTGTGCTGGGTGGTGAAGAGGATGGATCGCCTGACCGGCGACGATCGTCGCAGTGCGACCAGCATGGACAAGGTCCTCGTTTCGGGGTTGAAGGAGGTGCGGATTCGGATGATCACATAGATCAAGGAACACGTCGCACGCAAACGGTCAGGCCATGTCGGAGTTGCTGCCGATGCCTGTGACGACGACGCCGCGGAGCCCCCCTTCGGCATCCCAAGCAGTCGGTGTCGCCGACACCAGCGGAGAGGCCGGAGACGGCGTCAACAAGGCAGATGAGGAGGCAGAAAGGGCTGTGGCGAGGACCGCGGATCAGGAAAAGGAGGAGGAGGAGGATGACACCGATGATCAGGATGATAACGAGGAGGATCGTGAGGAGCGTGAGCAGGGGCATGGGCAGGAGGAGGAGGAGGAGGAGGAGGAGGAGGAGGAGGAGGAGGAGGAGGAGGAGGAGGAGGAGGATGATGAGGAGGAGGAGGAGGAGGAGGAGGAGGAGGAGGGAGGAGGAGGAGGAGGAGGAGGAGGAGGAGGACAAGGAGGCGGCGGCGGTGGAGGGCCGTGGAGCAGGGTTTCGGGTCGGTGGAGCAGGTGGCGGAGGGGGAGAAGCAGCAAGAGGGGGAGGAGGAGGTAGAGTTCCCCTGGGTCGAATTCGAGATGGAGGATGTTGAGGGAGCGGCGGCGGTGGCCGTGGAGGGAGCCGGCGGCGGTGGTGGAGGGAACGGGGTGGGATGTCGGGCGGATGTTGTGTACGTGCGAGGGGAGGGTGCCGATGTGGAGAATGTCGGCGTGGAGGAGACGCACGTGGTCGGCAATGTGGTTGGCGACGCGAAGGAGGAGGATAACGCCGCGGCCCCGACGCCGACGGGCGTGGAGACCACCACAGGGAACGCAGGGGTGGAACGCCGGGGTGGAGCGGTAGAGGCGGGCCGTCAACCGGTTCCTCAGCAGCTGGTCGGCAGGCAACGCCGGCCGTCGTCGCGCAGCTGCGACAGGAGAACATGTGGCTGAGGGCTGAAAATGCTCGTCTCGAGACGGCGCTACGGAGTGGAGAGGGGGTCGGGTGGACAAGTTTGCGATGGGGATTGGCCGCCTCGTGGACAAGCTCAGGTCGTTGGCCGACCAGGTCGCCGCCTCCGACCAGGACGCAGTCGAGAGTCGGCTGATGGACGCGTCCTTGACCATGGCGACGACCGTCACGGAGAACATCACCGCCAACATGGTGAAGCATGGGATGCGATGAAGGCGTTACGCCGAGAGGGCGGAGTGCTGGTTGGACGATCTAGAGAATCCGGAGGGGTTTATGGCGGTGCAACGTGCGAACGCGGTCGTCGCCATGTGGCAACCACGTGGACGAAGCGAGGAAGGGATTGGAGGAATACATATCGAAGCACCTAGGTCGCCGCGCAGACCAACATCGCCGCCGCGGTAACTCAACGCGTCGCCGTCCCGCCGCCCACGCCGCCCGCCCCACCGCCAGCCTTCCCGGACGAGCTCATGAAGTCTTTCAAGGCGGATGTGTTGAAGGCGGTGACTGAGGCCACCCAGCAGTCATTTGTTGCGTCCGGGTTAAACCTCATGACCCAGGTGATCGGCCATCTGGCGCCTGGTCGGCATGGGTCGTTGCCGTCGGACAACGAGGCCGACAAGAAGGGTGCGAAAAGGGCGGGCGGCGGAGATGATGCGTTGAGCTCGAAGCGGAGCAAGGGAGCCGATGGGAGCCGCGGCGTCGGCCAGGTGGGTCCAGGCGGCTCGCGGAGCAAGGGAGCCGATGGGAGCGGAGGTACGAGCGTGGTCGACCAGCTCAAGAAGAACGGGGCCAAGGTGATAAGGACGCACAGCAAGGGCGATGGAATCAGGAGTGCGGAGGGGGGGCCTCCTGCCCGACCAGGATTGCCGCTCAAGAGGCTGGACCAACAGCCCCGCCATTGGTCGCCGGAGAAGCCGGCCAGTCTAGCGAACCGCACCAACGGCGATAGATGGCGGCGCCAAAAACCGTCAAGGGACCGTACCGGCGGAGTGGCGGGGATCACGTCGATCCCCAGCAAACCCCCTGCGGCTAGCAGCGCGCCGGTCGCCCCGTCAGCCGCCAACAATGATGGGCCGTCCCTTGCGGCTACTCCAGCACCAGCAGGCACGTCTGCCGCCAAGGTTGACCGCGGTGAATGCTGCGGCTAACCGCGCTGGTGCGTCCGCCCCAAAGGCCGAACGCGCTCAGGGAGATGCTCAGCCGCATGGAGACCCCATCGACAGGACGTGCAGCAACCTCCCGTGGTCGGTACCGCGCCGGCCCACAACAGCACGACGCTCGGTCACTCCCCAGGTCGCCGCCACAACGTCCAGTGCCCCACCTACCGCGCCTATCATCGCCGCCCCGTCCTCCTGTGGACCCAAAGGTCCGCGTTGCTTCGCGCCCGGTTAGGCGCACGGTACTGCGGCACAGTGCCAGCACAGGCTCAGCGGTATCCAGCTCATGCGCGACGCCGACGTCGGGGACCGTAGCTGCACACACACTTGGTGCGGCTACTGTCGAGGCGGTGGCGGAGAAGGGCGTGAGTGCAACGCTAGCCACAGGGCGGCGGATCAGTTGACCTGCACAGGCGGCGAAGGACCACAACGACGCCGATATCGCTGCCATCCAGGACCTGTTGGAAGCGGTAAACCCGCCCCAAGCAGCCCCCAGTGCTGGCCATCTTGGACTCGGCGAGTCCCACCGGTTGTACAGCGGGAGCCAAAGACGACCACTGCTGCGGTCGGTCGCGGGGAAAGTCAAAACGGAAGGGGAACGGTCGACGCAGGGAAAGCGAGGCGCAGAGCTCGAAGAAGAAACACGTGGCGACGTCGGCGATGGTGAAGTCGGTGCAAGAAAGGACAGGGGATGGCGACGGCGATGGTGAAGGGAGAAGGCGTCGGAGAAAGGAAGGAGAAGGAGGAGGAGATGGAGGAGAAGGAGGAGGAGAAGGAGGAGAAGGAGAAGGAGAAGGAGAAGGAGGAGGAGAAGGAGGAGAAGGAGAAGGAGGAGGAGAAGGTGGAGGAGGCGGAGGGTGGAGGAGGGAGGAGAAGGAGAAGGAGAAGGAGGAGGAGGAGGAGGAGAAGGAAGGGAGAAGGAGGAGGAGGAGAAGGTGGAGGAGGCGGAGGGTGGAGGAGGAGGAGGCGGCGACGGAGGAGGAGAAGGTGAAGGTGAAAGAACGGAAGGGTCATGGCATCCGCCACGACACCACGGCACGGGCGACAAGCAAGGGTGGGGTGGGCGAGATTAAGGTGGTCGGGAACGAGAGCAGATACATCAGCAAGTCCCGCGAGAAGATGGAGCTGGCGTACCTTCACTCGATTGTGTACCTCCTGTACGACGGTTACGTCAGCAAGATCCTCATGGCCGAGCTCACCGGCTTGGAAGGAAACAGTGATGAAGCAGTGGAGGGCGGTGTGGAAGGAAGTCCGGTTCTTGCCGACTGGGAATGTGGAACGGTGATATGGGCACGGGGCGCGTTCCTCCCAAAGACACGGTAAGTCGGATAACGTCGGCCAAAGCGATGATGTCGACGTCGGCGTTCCTAACGGCCAGTTTCGTGTGATTGCGTGACAGGTTCGATGATATCCTCGGGAAGTATCGAGTGTACAAGACATCAGGGCGATGCGCACCACGACGCGCCTTTGCCCGCGATCTGGTTCCCCGTCGATGCCCGACACGAAGGAAGGGAAGCAGAAGTCGGATGCAATGATGTCGGCCATGATTGATCGCGTGTCCTTGTGCGCGGCGTATGGGAAGGTCGCTGCATCCGCGGCGAGAATGGAGGGCGACACGGATCAGACGACGGCGAAGGTCGCACAGGCGCTGTCAGCCTCCGCTTGCGCCCTGTGGTGCTTAGTCTGAGGGCGACGGCGCCCAGGTGGCTGATGCCGTGCGCGAAGGGAAGGCGGCGGCGATGTTGGTCGGCGCAGAGCGAGACTACCGCCGCCGAGTTCAAGAAGGTCATGACGGCGGTGCTGGAGGCCGCGATCAGCAGGCAGCAACCCCTCGGGGAGGTTGCGCACAACGTCGCACCGGCGCTGGAGTCCACGCGCTCTGGCCAAAGCCTATCCGGGGTTGGATGTTGATGCCGAGGCCAAACTGATCGCACGAGCGACGGTGGAAACCCTCGCGTTCTGGGGAATGTGCCCCGTGGATGGGCCAAAAACTCAGGAAGATCGGCATCGCGGTGCCGCTTGACGCGCAGATGGGAGTACGATATCGAACACAGGGGGGAGGAAGAGGCAGAGGGGCAAGCAGGGCAAGGACAGCTCGGGGAAGAAGGGGAAGAAGGGCAGAGCGGGCAAGGACAGCACGGCGGCGTAGTCGGCATAACAATCTGCCATGGGCGGCAGGAGGGAGCGCAAGTAGGTCTTCTTGCTAGGATGGTCTGGTATGGGCGGCGTCTATTGAGTAGGTTTCGTTGGGATTTTTTTCGTTTGATTGTATATTTTTCGTTGGGATTTCTTTTCGTTTGTGGTTGCGTATTTCTTTTGTTGGCTGTAACTTTTTGGTAGTGCATGTTACTAGAACACTCCTCGGCAAGGTCGACCTGATCTCTACCATGTTACTCAATGCGGGCCCGGTTCGATGAACCCCGTCGGCGTATAACAACTCGGCGTCGTACGGTGTCGACATAGTGCGTCTGGCTGTATGCATGTATGTACTCGGCGATGAGCCTCGTCGGCTAGACCGAGATGGTCAATGGTCGGCGCTTTGGGGAATGTGCCGCGCCGCCCAGGGTGGCCGAAACTCTAGGAGGTCGGCATCGATGTGCCGTTTGACGCGCATATCGAGCGGGGCATGGACAGCAACGGATGCGTAGTCGGCGCGCGGAGGGAGCGCTAGGTGGTATGATTGCTCGGTTATAGCGTGATCCGGCGCCGTTTGCATGCAGTCAGCGATGTCGACATGAAAAAGGCACAATGAATTGCACACACATGGTGGCGACTATGTCGGAGTCCGACATATCTGGTTCGGATGTATGTGTTGGATCATGTATGTTCGTGTTGCATCACCATCAACAAGTACGATGGGATCACTACGGTTTTGCTAAATTAGGGCATCAACAACCTACGCTAACACATATGCACCAAGGGATCTTCATGACGACTTCTTGCGCTTTGACGGAGGACGCTGCGCAGGTGCGGTCTGCTTCGCCAAGTCGGCCACGGTCTTCGGCATCTGCACCTCCCAGGTGTCTAGAAACAGGTGGGTTGACCCACGTCGTCGGCTTCAGCTCGAGCGCCACCAGCGCACAGGCGAGGCGTAGCTTCGAGACCACCTTGGGGGCAAGCCCCTTGACGCCCATGCCAGGCTCCTTGGACATCGTCGGTGCCGTCTCCGGGTTGAGCACCGTGAGGGCATCGCCAGAAGGTCCCAATGCCCGGTGCCGCGATCGTGTTCAGTGCATCGACCACGGCTTCGGTGTCGGCATCGCCGTCGCTCGCGCGTAGCTAGCGCACCGCATCCATGGCCTTCAGCATGCGGCACACCCTCATTTTGAGTGCACCCTGGGTCGCGCCTTGGAGGAGGGTGTGGCAGTCGATGAACCCCGGCTCGGTGACCCCTGTCGCAAAGACGACGGGTGTCATTGGCGGTGGCGGAGTTCCAGAGGCGCCAAGGCGTCCCGCACGGTCCTTTGAATCCCGCCAAGGTTGCACCACGTTGAGCTCGTATCTGGCCTCCTCTGCCGTCTTGGGGGGTGGCGGGGGTTTCCCATCATCTCTCTTAGCTCGGTCCCCGTGTTGGCCAAATCCGCGGAGCCACCCTCGCCCGGAGCTTGAATCGGGTCGCCGACGGCGGCGCCGCCGGCATCCTCCGGGCTTCTGACACACGGAGTGCCTCGGTGACTCGAGCAAGCTTCGGCGGTGAGTCGACGCAATGGTGTCGTTTTGCATCTCGATCGTCTCCTGAAGGCCTAGCTTCTCGAGCGCCGAGCGCTCGACCCTCCTTCTTCAGCGCCTCCTTGAGGGACATGTTGTGATACTGGGTGTCCATGCGGACGGATATTTCCTGCAATGTTGAGTGTGCGGAAAGGCGACAAGAGGTTAGAATTCACCGGCTAAAATTCAACGACGCCGACATGGTCGGCAACTCACCTCCGGCTGAATCTGAGTCGGGTCCCGGCGCTTTTTGATCGTATCGGTGTCGACCGACTCGACCCTTTTCGCCCAGTGCTGGAAGAGGGCAATCCTTCAGAGCTTGGAACCTTGGACGTACGGGTGCCACGATGTGCAGACGAGCTTCACCGCGAGGTCCTCGGCGACGATGCGTCGGAACATCACGAGGGTGCGCAAGAAGTGCACTGCGGCTTTGTCGGCGTCGCTCCCGTTGACGGCACGCGTCTCCGCCTCCAAGTCGGAAAGTGGCGTGGGTTAGTAGGGAGCTGGGCAGCCAACTAGGCCACGACGACTGGAAAAACATTGTCGGCGTCGCGTGACATACATCGCGCAGCATAGCATCCACGCCGGGGAAGATGTGCTCGGCGAGCAGGTCCAGGAGTTTGTCGGAGGGCTCGACCCTGCTGCGCCCCAAGAAGTAGTCTTGCTTGAGTCCCGAGTAGCCGGCCATTCCGCATCACCACCCCAACGGGAATGGCCGTGATGTACGCACGCGTCATCTTGTTGAGAGCCCAGTGTCCCCAGCTCGGCGATCTCCGCGCGCGGAGTCCCTCCGATGGCTAGCTCCTGCGCACCTCCGGCGCGGGCGGCGTGCACGTTCCTTTTGCATAACACCTTGTTGGTCGTCCACATCTGCCGAGTCCAACGTTGGTGGGTGGCGGCGGGGAGCTCCTCCTGCTCCTTGTTGTTTTTGGCGAAGAAGAGATGCTTCTTGTACCAGCGTTCGCGCTCAGTGGTGTCAAGCGGCGGAAGGAAGTCGGTGCCGGAGAACTAACCGATCTGGTCGAGGATGAAGTGCAGCCACAGGCCGGTCTCGCCGATGGCGCACAGCTCCGCTTCCAGGTGTCGCGCCGCGTAGCTCATGCTGAAGACGGGCATCCTTGGAAGTCTTCGAGTTACGCGCGGCGATCACCATGACGACCGGCTGGCTATCCGGGTTCACCTCCGAGGTGCTCGCCGGGTGGTACAAGAAGACGGCGGGGAGCGTGATCTCGCGGATGCTGGCGGCGCGCAGGAGAGAGTGGTGGGAGAGTAGCGTGAGCACCTTGACGAGCAGGAATCGCCACAGCGTCTGCGACGGAGTGGTTGCCCGCGGGTTCCACGCCGCCGCCGCCCATGTCGGCAGCACCCTCATCATGATCTGGCAGAACTGCTCGGCGGTGTAGGTATTGCCGATGGTGCCGCGTCGGCGGTCGGCGTAGTTCCTGAATGCAAATCGGCGGGGAAAATCTGTTAGACTGCGTCGACTTCACAGTGCACAGTGATATAGAATAAGGTTGTCGACCAACTTATTTGATGTCCCTCTCGTTCTTGTGGCGCATGTTGAACCGCACCTCCGATCCGACCACCGAGATCTCCCTCATGACTGCCCAGCTCCTTCTCTCGGTACAGCGTCGCCTCCACCCTCGCCGCCATCCTGGCATGCCTTTATGTCGCCCGAGGATCGTGTGCACAGTTGTCGACCTCGCAGGGCCCCGTTCCCGTGGCATTGTTCTCCTCCCCGGGCTGGTCAACAATGAGGTTACACTCACGGCTCATTTGCTTCACGTAGGCGCGCAGCGGGTTTCGGTGACCCTAGGGCCGTGCAGCCAGATGTACTGTCGGCGGACCACTTTCTCGTTGCACCAATCCTTTTTATTGTTGTCGCGGAGTGTAGTGGCCGATCTCGTCGACGTGCCGAAGTCGTTGCTCATGGGTTAGCTTGTCGCGTATCTGCTTCAGCATCTTCGCCGCCCCACTTCTTGTAGTGGTAGATGAACGCGGTGTACAGCCTGAGCGTGCTATCCTTCCTCCAAGCATTGTAGGTGTCGTAGGGCGTCCATTATGAGCACGTCGATGCTGGAGTACACCATGTCGTCCACTACAAGTCCGTCGCCTTCCACCTTTCGCGCGGCACCACCATGTGCTGATTGTCCTCCTTCTCGTCCTGTTCGAGCATGTCATGTATGTATTCAAATTCCCCGCCTAAGGCGTTCTTCCAAGGTGCGCGGATTCGTGCTACGCGGAGGACGGTCGTCGACTTCGTCGTCGCTCTCTTCCTCGTCCTCGTCGTCGTCATCACCTTGGTTTTCCGAGCCGGCCGGCACCGACGAAGGTCCAGGCTGCCCATCTGACGTCGGTGTCGACTTCTTCGTAAACTCCCCTATTGGCGGATTCGGTATGTCCTTGGTGTAATCCCCTTCGGGAATCAGAGTCAGGTTTGTCAAGATCGTAAAGCAACTTCAGCGTCTCTACGGGGGCAGAGGACGGACTGTGGTCGGTTGGGGTACCAACGTCGGGCATGTCGACGTCGTCCATGACCGCTCGTATGCTCTACCGCCGGCCGTGGAAGAGGAAAGATTGGTAAACCAGAGACGGAAGTGATTCACGTCGACGCCTGAGTGCCGACCTAAGTCTATTCCAGTCGACGCCTGAGTGCCGCAGCTCGGTCGACTCGGCCGTCGGGTAAGCTGGACCCGCAAAGATAGCGAGGGTCCTGTGAAGAAAACGAAGTGCCAGATGGCGCACAGGAGCATGAGAGAAACACGAAGCTGAACCGGCAGAATGAGAGCGTTGTGCGTGGTCAAAGAGGGGTATGGTTGCGGGCCACTGCTCACCTGCCGCGCTCCACGCAGCCCTCTTTGCAAGCGCCGCAGTGCACGTGCATGACGTGTCACGATCGATGCATGTCCTACTGTCACGCCGCTCTGCGCTCACACGGCACTCCCGCCGGTGCCTTGCCACGGTGGAATTCACGTGCGCCGCGTGCAATATGCCAATCACCTAGTTCCACTCTCCCGAAATGCCGTAGCGTCCTGCTCTCCCGCGCAAAACCTCATCGACCTGCGAGTAGGCGCGTGGCCGGAGGGTTGGTCGACGCCGACATTCCCTGAGTCTGGGGCTCTCTTTGCCTATGCAATTGTTTGGTCCGCACAGAACCATCCGCGTGGGTCGTGCTGCTGCGGTTGGATCTTCGGGCGACACCGACATCTCAATACCCCCGCGTTCTCTGGCTATCTAGGGTGGTGGACACATGCCAGTCGTCTTTCGCCGCGTGGACGTTGGTGACATTTTTCGTCGGCGCGCCAACTTTCACGCGCAGTGAAATATACCCGGTGGTGCGAAGCGGGGCCACGTCGGCGCCGTCGTGGCACCTCCCGATTGTCAGGCTCCGATCTCGGCCGTCCCTACTAGGCCACGTGGCCGTAATCGCGGCTCGGCGCACGACGTGTCGAGCTGTGGTTCAGGGTCCGCTGAGGTATCCCTTTCTCGGGTTTTCTCTCAGCGAAACCCTGAGGTCGTCAGATAGTCGACAATCCCGAGGGGTTCAGAGCCCCGGAGGACTGCCAGCTCGCCCCAGTTTGCCACTACTCGCAGGTCGTCAGAAGCTCGTCAATCCCGAGGGGGTTCGTTGTCCTATCGCAACCGCGAATATTGGGCGGCTGTTTTCGTCGGCTGAGGTATATCATCCCATAATGCGCATAAAAACTACAATGAGGTCACTTCCAGCGGTCTGGCAAAATATACTACGTTGAAGAACGTTTTGTGATATTTTCAGTCGGTTGAGTAGTGTCGAATGAACTCTTCTGGCGTGCCGTCCCATCTGCCATCACACCTTCGTGGGCAGCTTCAGAACATGTCAACTTCAGCCCTCGGGGGTGTAAGGAACACCAAGATAACCCTGGAATATCGACTTCTCCCTTTCAACTCCCAACTACCAGCAGTCAAGCCTGAGCAAGAAACCCAAGGGTGTGTCATGAGGAGTTCAATTTTGCTTGAAACCCCTACCGAAACGCAAAGTTTTTTAAACAAACCGTTCGTACATGCACACCATCCCATTTCACCGCAATCAAACGAACCATATGACACGCCCCCAATCATTGCGCAATCTGCGCTGGCGATACTTTCTCCCATTTCCTGTTCAGATTTTGTTTGAACGTCCATCAGTCTCGGTTTGTAACAAACGAATAGGTCGTACGAGTTCGTTTAGTCGTACATTATCTCAGCCCGCGACTTGCGACGTCCTTCAAAACAGGATGGCCGGCAGGTGCACAACTCATGCGCGCGACATTGGCAGCATCGTTGTTAGTATGTGAGCAATCGCGATGTGAAAAGCAACGAGGATTATTCAACTCCCTGCTCGGAGTACGCACACGTACACGTAAAAGTACCCGTACTATACGATGGCTTTCAGGATGTGAATACTCAAATTGGTCACGTATGTGTGACGTATGGCACGATCAGCTGCGGCCCCTTACTGACCGTGGTTCGCCGTGAGTGGTGGTGTGCTGACGTGGACGAGGATGCGGGAAAGATTCTTGGGCAAGTCGGGCAAGGCCAAGCAAGCGGAGGCTTCGAGAGGCAAGCCATCCTCCCTTACCGCGCTTCATGTCGGTACATTGCTGAACGCCTAGCAATAGCCAAAGGCCATCATTTTTTCGCGACGCCTCAAGTCTTTCGCAAATGCCCCGATCCGACCCGCCTCCCACACGCCCTCGTAGCCGGCAATCTTTCTGCTCATTCCGCTCTTTCCGCTCGTTCCGGCTTCTGTATTTCCTCCTCTCTGTGTATCTTGCTCCCTCTCTGCCTCCATCCCGCGCCGCACCCCCTCCTCCTCTTCCTACCCAGAATCCTTGCTCGCCGCTTAACCCCCCACCCCTCCCCCTCCTCCTCCCCCTCCCTCTCCCCCTCCCCCTCCCCATCCCCCTCCCCGCAGCCGCCCCCATCCAGGGCGCCTGTGTGCCGGTTTTCCCTGGCGGACATTTTAACCGCGACGTAACCACTGGGGCACCGCACTTGCTCGTGGGCAACGGGTACCGCCTCATGTTCAAAGGCGTGGACCCGCGAGACGGCGTCACCCTGTGGCTCTTGAAGATCTGCCGCGCCCGCGAGTCTGAAGAGTTTCAGGCGGAGGTGAGGGGGAGGGGGTGGGGGGGGGGTGGGGGTTCTTTTGAGTTGAATTTTGAGGCGCCTCAGAAGAGTTTCAGGCGGAGGTGAGGGGGGGGCTTCTGTCGACTCAAACGGCGACCTCATGACGGCGTAGACCTGCGAGACGGCGTCACCCTGTGGCTGTTAAAGCGCTGCCGCGCCCGCGAGTTTGAGGAGTTGTAGCGGAGGTGAGGGGGGGAGCGCGGGAATGCTTTTGAGTTGACTTTTCAGTCGACTCATAAGTCACTGCGCTGCCGCACCCGAGAGTTTGAAGAATTCGTAGCGGAGGTGATGGGGAGAGAAGGGGGAAGGGGGCGGAAGGGTTTGGTTTTGGAGAGCAGAGAGAGGAGGGGTGATGGGGAGGAGAGGGGGAAGATGCAGAGGCAGAGAAAGGAGGAGAGGGAAGGAAGTGAGGCACGGCTGAGATTCTGAAGCTTCTTCAACTGGGCTGGTTAGAAGATTAGCCTCTAGATTAGCCACTAGATTAGCGCACTAGATTAGCCCTCTAGATTAGCCACTAGATTAGCCACTAGATTAGCCACTAGATTAGCCACTAGATTTTGCTGTTTCAAGTCGCACACAGATCGCACTGGCACACTTTCACCAAGGAAAACCGCTCTGCATTGTCGTGTCGTCCCCCCACGCCACGGGGAGTCCGTCTGATAAGGCCATGCTGTCACACTGCCACGCTGTCACACTGCCACGCTGCCACACTGCCACGCTGTCACACTGCCATGCTGTCACACTGCCACGCTGTCACTCTGCCATGCTGTCACACTGCCACGCTGCACACTGCCACGCTGCCACACTGCCACGCTGTCACACTGCCACACTGTCACACTGCCACGCTGTCACACTGCCACGCTGTGCCACACTGCCATGCTGTCACACTGCACGCTGTCACACTGCCACGCTGCCACACTGCCACGCTGCCACACTGCCACGCTGTCACACTGCCACGCTGCCACACTGCCACGCTGCCAACACTGCCACGTGTGAAGCGTGGCGGGGTTTGTGAAGCGTTGCTCCTCGTGCCCTCTCCCTCCCCCCCCACCCCCTGACTTGCCTTCACCGCATTCCCCACTCCACCCCCTGCCTTGCCTTCCCCACGCCCCACCCCCTGCCTTGCCTTGCCTGCCCCCAGGTGGCGGAGATGGGATACAAGAACCATCCCAACCTGGTGCGGCTTCTGGGGTACTGCGACGAGCGCGACAAGCAGGGGGCGGTGGGAGAAGGTGGTTGTGTATGAGTTTATGACTGCCGGCAGCCTTCACGACATGTTTCAACCAGGTGGGTGTGGGGAGGAAACAGGCAAATGCCGCAGCACACAGCCTTATGAGGCGTGTCAAGCAGGGGCGGTGGGAGAAGGTGGGTTGTGTATGAGTTCATGACTTCTGGCAGCCTTCACGACATGTTTCAACCAGGTGTGTTAGGAGGAAACAGGCATGCCGCATCACACCTTATGAGACGTCTCAAAGTTCTTTTGAGACGTTGACGCGCAGGGCCGGTGGGAGAATGGTGGTGGTGTATGAGTTTTATGACTAGCCGGCAGCCTATCACGACATGTTTCAACCGGGTGGGTTAGAGGAAACAGGCATGCCGCATCACACACCTTATAGAGGCGTGACAAGCAGGGGCGGTGGTGAGAAGGTGGTTGTGTATGTTGAGGATCAGGACAGCTGGCAGCCTGCTCGACATGTTTCAACCGGGGTGGGTCAGACTTCAGGTATGCCGCATCACACCTTATGAGAGACTCTCCAAAGTTCTTTTGATACGTGACACGAGCAGGGACCGGTGGGAGAAGGTGGTGGTATATGAGTTCATGGACTTGCCAGAAGTTCTGTTGATATTTTTCAACCGGAGTGGGATTTGAGACGTCTCAAAATGCGATTATGCGACAAGCAGGGGCGGTGGGAGAAGGTGGTTTATGAGTTCATGACAGCTGGCAGCCTTCTCGACCTGTTTTCAAACCGGGTGGGTCAGGTGAGGCATGCCGCTTCACCCACCTCTCTTTCTGACGAGGGGCCGTGTTTTGAGTCGACTAGAAAATAGTGGCCCATCCCATCACACACCTCTCTTTCTGACCGAGCCCATGTCGCAGTAAGTGCAGTAAGCATCCATGCCAACTCCAAACATGTAGGTGCTTGCTGGTTCTGCCCCTCTCTCGCCCTTGCCCTTGCCTGTTCTGCCTCTCACTCGCCCTTGTCCTTGCCTGTTCTGCCCCTCCCTCGCCCATTGTCCTTGCCTGTTCTGCCTCGTGTGCTTCTTTTGTGCATCTAGCTCCCTTTTCCCCCTTGGCCCTGCTAGGTCCTGCCCTACCTGTCCTTTTCCCCCTTGGCCCTGCTAGGTCTGCCTACCTGTCCTTTTCCCCCCTTGGCCCTGCTAGGTCTGCCTACCTGTCCTTTTCCCCTTGGCCCTGCTAGGTCTGCCTGCCCTTGACCTACCATCTGCCCATCGCTCGCGCTTTATGCTTTCTTTTGAGTCGAATCAAACACATTTCTCTTTTGAGTCGACTCAAAAGTATTCCGTTACGTTGGTGCGAGATTTCAATCTACCCTACAGCGCATTCTTTCTCCTCTTCTCCTCGCAGGTTGCACCGGCGTGCCGTTGACCCTGCAGCAGCGGCTGGGCATTCTGATAGGGGTGGCGCACGGGTTGGAGTATCTGCACAGCTTTGGAATCGTGCATCGCTGCCTTTGCGTTAGAAGCATCTTTCTGGACGGCAACATGCAGGTGAGTGAGTGTGCTGTGAGTGTGCTGTGATGTGCTGTGAGTGTGCTGTGAATGTGCTGTGAGTGTGCTGTGAGTGTGCTGAGTGTGCTGTGTGTGCTGTGAGTGCGCTGTGAGTGTGCTGTGAGTGTGCTGTGAGTGTGCTGTGAGTGTGCTGTGAGTGTGCTGTGAGTGTGCTGTGAGTGTGCTAGTGAGTGTGCTATGGAGTGTGCTGTGAGTGTGCTGTGAGTGTGCTGTGAAGTGTGCTGTGAGTGTGCTGGGCGTGTTGCTGTGAGTGTGCTGTGAGGGCACCATCATCCTCCACTCCACACGACACCACACGACACCACACGACACCACATGAACTCCACATGACACCACACGACACCACATGACCCGCCCACATGACTCCACACATGAGTGTGCTGTGTGGTGTGGAGCAGCGCCATATAGGATTGGGTTACCCTGCCCTGTTACACTGATGCTGTAGAAAAGCATTTCCCCTCTCCCTCTCCCCCTTCCCCCCCCATCCTGCCCGGCCACATGACATGATGCCACCCCGCATGTCCGCACGTCACTTGCGCTACACTTGCCCAACACAACGCCACGGCAGGCGAAGATTGCAGGGTTTGACTATGTGACGACGCGCAGGGCTGCAGCGAGTGGCGAGCAGCAACGCGGTGGTGGGCGTGCGGGGGTATGTGGATCCTCAACCTACTGCTCACCCAGGAGCACACACCCACCAATGATCTCTACAGGTGCGGAACCATGTACCTACGCACGCAATAACTAACAACCACTAACAACCACGAATGACCGCGTAGGGGTCCCTGTACTTTTGAAACGTCTCAAAAGGCATGCAGCAAGTGGCGAGCAGCATGCGGTGGTGGGCGTGCGTGGGTACGTCACATGTGAACCTGCATCTGCTGCTCACCAGCAGCAACACATCCACCAATGACCTCTAAGGTGCAGATCGCTGTAACCACTTAACCACGCACGCAGTAACTAACAACCACTAAACAAACCACTAACACCACTAGCAACCACTAACAACCGCTAACAACCACAGATGACCTCTACAAGTGCGGGTCCCGTACTATAGAGACGTACTCAAAAGGCTGCAGCGAGTGGCGAGCAGTCTAAGAGCGGTGCTGCTGCAGCATGCTGTCAGGCCGCATTTTCTGTCCCCTGCTTCTCCTCCCCATCCCTGCCCCCCCTTCTTCCCACCCATCCCTGCTCCCCCTTCTTCCCACCCATCCCTGCTCCGCCTCTTCGCCCGCTCCCACCAGTCTGGGAGTGGTGCTGCTGCAGCTGCTCTCAGGCCGCATCTCCGACGCTTCAGGGAAGACCATGCCCGAGTTTTTCAGAGAGGCTGTGAGTATTGAGGGTGAGAGGATTTGATGTTGCGTGCTAGAGGATTTTTGAGTCGACTCAAAAATCAACTCGCCTCAGGGAAGACCATGCCCGAGTTTTTCAGAGAGGCTGTGAGAGCGAGAGGAGCATCGGGGGGAGGGCGAGTGGTGAGTGCTGAGAGGACCATTGGGGGAGGGCGAGTGGTGAGTGCTGAGAGGAGCATTGGGGGGAGGGCGAGTGGTGAGTGCTGAGAGGAGCATTGGGGGGAGGGCGAGTGGTGAGTGCTGAGAGGAGCATTGGGGGGAGGGCGAGTGGTGAGTGCTGAGAGGAACATTGGGGGGGGAGGGCGAGTGGTGAGTGCTGAGAGGAGCATTGGGGGGAGGGCGAGTGGTGAGTGCTGAGAGGAGCATTGGGGGGAGGGCGAGTGGTGAGTGCTGAGAGGAGCATTGGGGGGAGGGCGAGTGGTGAGTGCTGAGAGGAACATTGGGGGGAGGGCGAGTGGTGAGTGCTGAGAGGAGCATTGGGGGGAGGGCGAGTGGTGAGTGCTGAGAGGAGCATTGGGGGGAGGGCGAGTGGTGAGTGCTGAGAGGAGCATTGGGGGGAGGGCGAGTGGTGAGTGCTGAGAGGAGCATTGGGGGGAGGGCGAGTGGTGAGTGCTGAGAGGAGCATTGGGGGGAGGGCGAGTGGTGAGTGCTGAGAGGAGCATTGGGGGGAGGGCGAGTGGTGAGTGCTGAGAGGAGCATTGGGGGAGGGCGAGTGGTGAGTGCTGAGAGGAGCATTGGGGGAAGGGCGAGTGGTGAGTGCTGAGAGGAGCATTGGGGGGGGGGCGAGTGGTGAGTGCTGAGAGGAGCATTGGGGGGAGGGCGAGTGGTGAGTGCTGAGAGGCATGCCAGCAGCGCAGTACCTGCATGGCTGGCAGTGTTCCAAGTGTGAGTCTGGTCCAAAGACTTCTGAAACGAAGTACCCCCCCACTTGAAACAAGAGACTCAACCACCCAGACCCACTGATGCTGAAAACAAGAGAACCCCTTTCCTTATCACTACCGATTTTTTATTATTATTATTGTTTTTTGTTTTTTTTTTTTGCTCCTCCCCTCATGCTCTACCGCCCCATGCTCTACCGCCCCATGCTCTACCACCCCATGCTCCACCCTTTATGTTCCTCCCCCTGTGCTCCGTCCCCCATGCCCCCTCCCTCCATGCTCCACCCTCTATCTATGTTCCTACCCCCATGCTTCTCCCTCCATGCTCCTCCCTCCATGCTCCTCCCTCCATGCTTCTCCCTCCATGCTCCTCCCTCCATGCTTCTCCCTCCATGCTGCTCCATCAACATGTTTCCCCACATGTACCCACCTTCTCTGGGTCACAGTGTTTCTGTTTTTTTAGTCGACTCAAAAATCGACTTATCTCACCTCCTCTTTCTCCCCCTTGCGCTGTCCCCCATGCTCCACCCCACCCTCTATGTTCCCGCCCTTCACCCCACACCACGTTGGCACGCAGCTTCAAGCCAACAACTTGGCTGCTCTCTTCGATCCCGCGCTCGCCTCCTCTTCCCTCCCACCCACCACCGATACCAGCGCCAGCATCCCCACCAGCATCCCCACCAGCATCCCCACCAGCAGCGCCACCAGCAGCGCCACCAGCAGCACCAGCGCACCCTCTAGCACCATCAGCACCACCACCACAGCAGGCACAGCAGCTGCGAGCGCTGCTGATACTACACTGGGTGTTCCCAATGTTCCCAATGTTCCCGACCGACTGGGAACAGTAATTATGCTGATACCGAATGCTCTTATTCCTAGCTTGGTGCGGCTGGCTCGTGTTGGGCTCGCATGCACCGCCATGCCTGCTTCCTCCCGGCCCTCCTTGGGACGAGTTCTTGCTGAGCTGGAGATAGTGCGTGATGATGTGGCAGCAGCACTGAGGCAGATGGAGGAAGAGGGGGAGAATCACGAAGGGGACTTGCAGGGAGGAGGGGGGGGTGTCGTTGCAGGCAACAGGGGAAATGAGCATTTGGACTCATGGCACAATCTTTCCCACACTGACCCTGCCTCCTCCACACCTCCCAATCCTTCCACCCCTCCTTCGCAGCCTCCTCCTCCCCCTCCTCCCCCTCCTGTTGTCGCCCCCTCCTCCTCCGCCCTCCTCCCAGTGCCGCTGCTGTGCCAGCAGGTGGGCATGGCGGATGTACTGCGCGCAACAGGAGGTGGGGGCGGCGGACAGGCGCATAGGCAGCGGCGGGTATGGTGACGTGTACCGGGGAGTGAGCCCCCTCGACGGGTGCACGCCCTGGGCTGTGAAGCGCGCTAGAGTGCTCACTAATGACTTTCGGCGCGAGGTGGGTGGGCTGGTTGTGATGTGTGTGTTTCCAGTCGACTCATAGTGCACATGATGGCTGCGCGCCCTGGGCTGTGAAGCGCGCTAGAGTGCTCACTAATGACTTTCGGCGCGAGGTGGGTGGGCTGGTTGTGATGTGTGTGTTTCCAGTCGACTCTTAGTGCACACGATGGCTGCGCGCCCTGGGCTGTGAAGCGCGCCCTGGGCTGTGAAGCGCGCCCTGGGCTGTGAAGCGCGCCCTGGGCTGTGAAGCGCGCCCTGGGCTGTGAAGCGCGCCCTGGGCTGTGAAGCGCGCCCTGGGCTGTGAAGCGCGCCCTGGGCTGTGAAGCGCGCCCTGGGCTGTGAAGCGCGCCCTGGGCTGTGAAGCGCGCCCTGGGCTGTGAAGCGCGCCCTGGGCTGTGAAGCGCGCCTGGGCTGTGAAGCGCGCCTGGGCTGTGAAGCGCGCCCTGGGCTGTGAAGCGCGCCCTGGGCTGTGAAGCGCGCCCTGGGCTGTGAAGCGCGCCCTGGGCTGTGAAGCGCGCCCTGGGCTGTGAAGCGCGCCCTGGGCTGTGAAGCGCGCCCTGGGCTGTGAAGCGCGCCCTGGGCTGTGAAGCGCGCCCTGGGCTGTGAAGCGCGCCCTGGGCTGTGAAGCGCGCCCTGGGCTGTGAAGCGCGCCCTGGGCTGTGAAGCGCGCCCCTGGGCTGTGAAGCGCGCCCTGGGCTGTGAAGCGCGCCCTGGGCTGTGAAGCGCGCCCTGGGCTGTGAAGCGCGCCCTGGGCTGTGAAGCGCGCCCTGGGCTGTGAAGCGCGCCCTGGGCTGTGAAGCGCGCCCTGGGCTGTGAAGCGCGCCCTGGGCTGTGAAGCGCGCCCTGGGCTGTGAAGCGCGCCAGAGTGCTCACCAACGACTTCCAACGCGAGGTGAGGCTGTTGTGACTGATGAGTCGACTCAATAGTCGACGGCTCTTCCCTCCCCATCCCCCTCCCCATCCCCCTCCCCATCCCCCTCCCCATCCCCCTCCCCATCCCCGTCCCCATCCCCCTCCCCATCCCCCTCCCCATCCCCGTCCCCATCCCCCTCCCCATCCCCCTCCCCATCCCCGTCCCCATCCCCCTCCCCATCCCCCTCCCCATCCCCCTCCCCATCCCCCTCCCCATCCCCGTCCCCATCCCCCTCCCCATCCCCCTCCCCATCCCCCTCCCCATCCCCCTCCCCATCAGATCAACGAGATGGCATCAAAGCACCACCCCAACCTGGTGCGGCTGCTGGGCTTCTGCCTGGACTACGATGCGGCAGCGGAGCGCATGGAGCAAATCGCCATCTATGAATACATGCCCAACGGGGACCTGTACCGCCGCATGCACGGCAACGGCAAGGTGGGCACCACCGCACCACCCCCTTTTCCTCTTGCTACTCTTGCTCCTCCTCTTGCGGAGCGCATGGAGCAAATGGCCATCTATGAATACATGCCCAACGGGGACCTGTACCACCGCATGCACGGCAATGATGCAGGTGGGCACAGCACTTTTGAGTCGACTCAAAAGCCAGAGCACTCTTGAGACGTCTGACGGAGCGCATGGAGCAGATCAGCATCTATGAGTTCACCTATACCACCGCATGCATGGTGATGGCACACGTGGGCACCTCTGTTTGCATGGCAATGGCACACGTGGGCACCTCTGTTTGCATGGCAATGGCACACATGGGCACCTCTGTTTGCATGGTGATGGCACACGTGGGCACCTCTGTTTGCTCCTCCTCTTGCTGCTCTTGCTCTGCTCCTGCTCTTTTCTGATCCCTTTCCATTGCTTCTCTCTTCTGCTTTGTTCTTCAGGTAATATACCCCCCCTGACCATGCAGCAGCGGGTGGACATTCTGATAGGATCATAGGAGTGGCACGGGATTTCAATCTACCCTACAGCTTCTTCTTTCTCTTCTCTTCTCTTTTGTGTTGTTGGGCAGGTGACACCCCCCTGACCCTGCAGCAGCGGGTGGACATTCTGATAGGAGTGGCGCGAGCGCTGGAGTATCTCCACAGCTTTGGCATCATGCATCGCGACATCAAGCCCGCCAACATCCTGCTCGACAAAAACATGCAGGTGAGCTTGTTCTCAGGATGCTAACATGCAGGCGAGTGCATGGCAGTGCAGGCCAGTGCAGGCCAGTGCAGGCCAGTGCAGGCCAGTGCAGGCCAGTGCAGGCCAGTGCAGGCCAGTGCAGGCCAGTGCAGGCCAGTGCAGGCCAGTGCAGGCCAGTGCAGGCCATTGCAGGCCAGTGCAGGCCAGTGCAGGCCAGTGCAGGCCAGTGCAGGCCAGTGCATGCCAGTGCAGTCCAGTGCAGGCCAGTGCAGGCCAGTGCATGCCAGTGCAGGCCAGTGCATGCCAGTGCATGCGCTGATGAGTATCTCATGAGAAGCCAACATTGTAGTCGAGTCGAGTACCCACTCTGTAACCCTCATTCCATCAGGATCAATTTGACATTCGTCACTGTCTCATGCGGGAAACGCTGCCCTTTCGGAGTAATGAAGGATTCGAAACGCAGCAAGCCGGTTGTGCAGGTCAGCAATTTGACAATTCGTCACTGTCTCATGCGGGAAACGCTGCCCTTTGCCCATTTTGCAGGCGAATGTCAGACTTTGGTTTGCTGAGAATGGGCGACGGCAGCGGTCACTGCAGTTGCACTCGAGTGATGGGCACACCAGGCTATGTGGACCCCGTCTACTCCATCACTCACAAGGCCACTCCAAGTGCTGATGTGTACAGGTGGGAAGGGTGTGCATGGCACACGTGCATATGCATGTGTTCATCTCTCGTCTCACTCATGTGCTCGCGTTGCACGTGGTTGCTCATGGTTGCACATGGTTGCGCATGGTTGCACATGGTTGCACATGGTTGCACATGGTTGCGCATGGTTGCACATGGTTGCACATGGTTGCGCATGGTTGCACGTGGTTGCACATGGTTGCACATGGTTGCACATGGTTGCACATGGTTGCGCATGGTTGCACATGGTTGCACATGGTTGCGCATGGTTGCACGTGGTTGCACATGGTTGCACATGGTTGCGCATGGTTGCGCATGGTTGCACATGGTTGCACATGGTTGCGCATGGTTGCACGTGGTTGCACATGTCCTGCACACTGCTCTCTTATCTTGTTTATTTTTTTCTTTCTGCTTTCCTCCCTCCCTCCCTCCCTCCCTCCCTCCCTCCCTCCCTCCCTCCCTCCCCAGCTTCGGAATTCTTATGATGGAGCTACTGACCTGCAAGCATGTCGTGCAGCTATGTGAAAATGGTTCACAAATCAACATCAAGGACTGGGTATGCTGCTGCTTCTAAGTACAGGCAGTTTTTTACTGTCTTTCTTCTGCTTTTAAGTCTGAACTAAATTTGCTGCTCGCTGAGAGTATGTCGCAAACCGATATCAAATCAACACCAAGGACTGGGTATGCTGCTGCTCCTTCTTTCTTCCTTCCAA